TTTTTTCATGTGTGGAAGGGCAGGGCAACCAAGGAACAAGGATCTTTAAATCAGCAGGATTTAGCAGCCTTTTGAAGGTCACAGTCAATAACAAGGCTTAAGCTGGATACAGGGAATGTGAAACATAAGTATTGTCATGAAACTGTACAGTAGGTAGTAGTCACAAGTAATACCTGGTGAGCAAAGTTAGGTGAATCTATTTTATAATTGTATTTCTAATCCTGTTCCACGTTTACTGCTTGAAATGACAATATGATATAGTAACTAAGGTGAAGGACCCTACATCCAAAATTGTGAAATAAAACTCTATGCTTGTTTATATTTATGCAGGTTTTCTAAAAGGATAGCATGTGTATTGCCCGTCCAGAGTAATCATTTGGCCAAGTTATCATTTCAAATACAAACTGAATTTTCAATGAAAAGACTGTTGGAAATACAAATGGCCTTGTCCTATTTTACCAGCCTAGTTTTTATACATTTTAATGAAGTTTGAGGAAAGCTTTACGAATGTGAAATAGCAAAAAAGCTCTGTAATATATGGCTTCAAAATAATATATGGTTACTTAAGGGTAACCTGGTACTCTATTATACCTAGTCTCTAGTGTCCTTTTGTTTCAATGGTTTGACTGCTTTAAGAGACAGTGTTTATACGAGACTAAAAGGGTATAGTCTCAGAATATATAGAACATCAAGTAAAAGAAAATAAGGATCTGAAAATTTCAGTGAGAATAGCTAAGTCTGAGAAAGTGAGTCTTTATGAACTGATGTATCTTCATTTAATGTGCAGAGTGCAGCAGCGTGTTATGGATGGCCTTCATTTTATTGAATCTGATGTCATTGGGCCTAGGTTTCTGATTTTTTTTTTTTTTTTTTTTTTTTTAAGACAGGGTCTCAGGTTGGCCTCAAACTCTTTGTATAGTCAAGGATGACCTCTGGTTCATCCTGCCTCTTCCCACTTGCCCTGGAAATATAGGCATGGGCCATGACCATGACCCATGACTTACGACTTACCTGTTGTCGGGGATAGAACCCAACCCAAGGCTTTTTTAGTAGGCTGGCACTCTACCAAATGAGAAACACCTCCAGCCTGTATTTGTCTTTCTGAATTTTTTAGATAAATTCTCAAGTAGCCCGTGGTGGCCTAAAACTCACTGTTTAGCAAAGGTTATCCTGGGATTCTTAATTCTTCTGCCTTCACCTCCCAAGTGCTGAGATTAAAAAACATGCACCACCTAACCTGGTATCCTGGGACCAAATCTACACTTCTGATTTCCAATCTCCCATTCTTACATCTCTTATGATCTACAGCATTCTTACAGTTGCTAAGTATTTATTTATTTTGCCAGGTGATACACTGTTGGCCATTCAGGCACCTTCTGGTACACAGCTGGAAGTACCTATTCCAGAAATGGTATGTAGCATAGCTGTTATACAAGTGGAAAAAAAAAATAGATCTACCATCTTACAAGACACAAATGTGTTTTTTGAGCCAAACAAGAACTATTAGAGTTTGAACATTTTTTGAGTTATTGCTATTAAGATATATAGCTAAAAACATTGATATCTAAATTTGAACATCTTCTGTACTTTGGTAAAAGTGGCTGAATGAAATCTGTACTTCCTTTCTCCCCTAATCTTGAAGTATTTAGGAATTTACATTATTAAAGCCTCATCTATGTAGGAAATCAAGTCAGTTGTCTTTTGCTTGATGGATGGAAAGGTTTTGGTGTGTGAAATTTATAAATTCAAACAGGATGTTGAGATTACCAGTCATGGTACCTTACTTCAGAGATTGGAGTTCATGCATGTGGAGAAGTTACAGAACATTACTGAGCACCACCAGGTAGCATCACAGACAGTACAATGGATGGCAGTGTACCCGTGTAGTAATCATCCCAGTATGTGAGACTGAAGGTTTATGTGAGGTTTGAAGCCAACCTGGACAATGTAGTAAAAGGCTATCAAGTAGTGATGAAACTGTGGGGCAGGAAAGAAATAGAAGGGAAGGGGGAAAGGATGGGACAGGTTAATTGTTTAGAATTCTACAACTACTTCTTTGATAATTACCATTTGAGCAAAATTTACCATTTAAGCACAAGTGGCTTACAGACCTTAGGATTACTGTTCTCTTGGTCAGTTTTTCAGTTTTTCATGTGTTGCATCCAAGCAACTTTGTTATGTGAATTTAGGTGTTAAATCCTAATTACTTTGCTAGTCTTTGCTTGAATCTTCAAGTTAGGTAGCCGTGATTAATACTTGCTTGTTTATACCCAATAACTTCAAAGGCACAGAATGGACAAAAGAAATACCAGATAAATCTGAAGAGTCACTCAGGACCTATCCATGTGCTACTTATAAATAAAGAATCCAGTTCATCTAAGCCAGTGGTTTTTCCTGTCCCCCCACCTGATGACCTTACACAGCCTTCCTCCCAGTCAACTTCGGTGACTCCACAGAAATCCACCATGGCTGCTGAAAACCTGCCTGAGCAACATGTTTCTGAAAGAAGCCAGACTTTCCAGCAGACACCAGCTACAGAAATGTCTTCAGGTTGGTAGAGAGTCTTTGGTATAAAAACTTCACATGAAAACATGAATACTATATGAAACAGCTCAGAGCTATTCCGAATTTGTCAGTTCTTATATCTGAGGCAAAATAATCTTACTCCATTTGGTATCCTCTATATGTCTGTCACTAGAAGAGATGTAAGGAAGATTTTATGGCATATCCTTTCTGTATTGCTAGACATATACATGTGTGTATATATATATATATATACATTATAGAAAAATGTATTCAGTTACAATGTTTAGAACTTTTTCTTCTGAGCACATACAAATGTCACTGCAGATGTTAAAAGCTGTATTATATATAACTTGTATTGTTTCCTAATGGAATACTTCATTGCTTCCACTTCAAGATTTCATAATCAATAATAATGAAACTAGAAAGATTTTATTTTGACATGGGTCAGTTTTTAAACTTTGTATTGCCTATGTATATCTTGCTTCTTTCTGTAAGTATTTTTATACTATAGTTGAAGAGCTGCAGAAGAGAAAGTATAGTTTTTAAGAAAATACTAATTAATTTCAATTTAATTGGAACATATAAAGCACACAAACTATATACTTTAGATTCAAACCAGTTGACACTTTTGGCTTCCACCAAAAATTTTAAAATTACAACAGCAAACTTAAGAAAACTGAATATTTTCTGTGTATCATTTAGTATAAAGAAAATGCTTGGGGCCTTATTAGACACTTTGAATACCAGATGAAAATGCTAGCTAATAAACCTGTTAAGATTTGTACGTGGGAATGTAGAAGTGAGAGTTATGCAGTGATGAGCATGGGAGTACGGGGACTTGGAAACTGTACTTTTGGAAATCCAAAGATAGCCTTCCAGGAGCTTCCGAGACAGAAAACTAGATATTTGCAATTAGAGCAGTGGAGAGAACATTAAGGGTAGAACAGGGTGCTACCAAGGAGGATAGGAAAGAGAAATAATAGGCAGATTTGAGAAATACTGTTTAGGCAAAGTAAGTTTTGATGTATAAGATACAGAGATAAAATGAACAGGAGAAATGAAGTATTGTTGTGTGAGTAGAATTATATAACACTTGTGACAACATACTAAGTTTTAGAAGAATGGAGACACTTTACCTCTGTATTTTCAGTTTGATGCCAAGAAAGCAGTAGGTACTCATGAGATTTGTTTTTCCATGTTCTAGTACCTTTATTGCCTTTATTCTGCCCATCAAACTAGTAATGTGACTATCACTATTAAAACTTAATTGCCCCTATTACATTTCTGTTTCCAACAGGATCTATTAGTGGAGACATCATTGATGAACTGATGTCTTCTGATGGTAAGAAGTTGAAAATTGTACTACTGGATATATATTACTAGAGTTTAAATGCCAAGTGACTCAGTATTAAAGTGTAGAATCTTTTAGAATTTTTATTTACTAGCATTTTAAGAGAAAGAACCTGTAAAGAAAACTTTTATTGAAAACTATTGGCACACTGGCCCAGGAGGAATTGAATAGTATGTCACAACCAACAGTTTTGTATGGACTTCCACCACAGGCTATTTCATGCTGCCCACCTCAATCACTGGACTATGACTAACATTAGCCAGGGTGCTTTTTGAAATGTATGAAATGGTTATTATAAGTCAACTGTCTGTAGTATGCTATTTAATAATCTCTCTGGGCTTTTGTGCAAGTTTTTGGACTAAGCTGTGAGAAATTTTATGTTAATCATCATAGTTCATGTAGAAACCAACTCTAACAATGAAACTTTTTCCTTTGCAGTGTTTCCTCTCTTACGGCTTTCTCCTACCCCAGCAGATGACTACAACTTTAATTTAGATGATAATGAAGGAGTTTGTGATCTGTTTGATGTTCAGATACTAAATTATTAGATTCCATGGAAACTTGGGACTGTTATCTACCTCTAACTGTAACATTTTAGAATTCTTAATAACCCAAGTATTTAAAATTATGAATGTAACACCTTTTTAGTTCACAGATTCTGAAGTGTTCTTCCCTAACATTCTATTTTTTACTTCACAAAACTTGAAAGGGCTCAGACTGCTTTTGAGGGGCATGATTAACTTTCCACCAGCATGCCCCTCCAGTGATTAGTTTCATTCAATGCTGAATTCTGTAGCTTCCTCTCCTTAGAGGGCAGTTACAGTAGGCTTCAGTTCATCACAACAAAACATTGTCCAGAAGATCACTTATTTGTCTTATGTTTTTACTGCCGCAAAGCTGTTTCTATGTATCCTTCAAACAGACATGCACTGCCATATATAAAGTGAAGGATATCACTGTTGAGTGAACAGATTTTGTGAAGTGCCTTCTGTTTTAGCACTTTAAATCTATCAGTTTGTTGACTTCTGACATTCCACTTTCCTAAAGTATAGGAAAGATCTGTTTATGTAGTTTGTTTTTAATATGTGCCAATGCCTGTACATTAACAAGATTTAAAGAAATAAAAGTTTTATGAAACATTCAATTTATTGATCTTTGGGGTAATGTGATTCACTGTCATTGTATTACAACTGAGCCATTAGTCGTGTTGCTTCATCAACGTTAGCTGCTTCATTTTCATGGTGCTTCTGAAGAATCAAAAGGAAGGAAGTTAAAAACAAAACACCTAAGTAGCAGCAGACCAAACTTCCTTGAATACAAACTGTTACCTAGTTTAATTCTTCTAATTTACATCTTTTCCTTTGGAAATATAATACAATCCATATTTAGACTTAATGTTTGAATATGGCTGAATATACCATATACAACAAAATGCTAAGTAAAAATTATAGTGGAATCCTAGTAGATTCATTGTACCTAGTGTACATTAGAATGAAACAATTGTTTTTCATTGTATCAAGGGTAGACATTAGAATAAATAGATGTTTTCTTAGGACTGAAACCTTAAAGAAATTTTTGTGGCAAACTTTTCTATGAATTACAGAATTGTTTTTCTGAAGGAGCTTTAGAGCCTTTACAAGACTTTGGTCAGAAGATAATTCTGGCACACCTGGAACATCTTGCATTATCGGGTATTGCAAACTGCACAATAACAAATAAGCTTGTAGGGATGTGATGCTTTCCTTCACAAAACAGGTTAGATCAGGGGCTTTCATATGAGGAATTTACACCCAAAAAACTACTTTTATGGACCATTTAGTAAATATGCTTTTGCATTGCTGTTGGAGATTCAGTCCAAGGAGGCTGTATTTCCTTGCTTCCAGCAAGACCTTAATTCATCCTCAGGTGACCCTTTCTTTGATTGTAGCATGTGACCCAGAACAAGGACAACATACACTTCAAGAGTAATAGCCTTCACTGCATCAGTCAAGAAAACAACTAATTTCTACTTACCAGCTCTTTCTGCACAGATTTAAGAGAAAGGCTTTTTGAGAAGTTTGCAAGTTCTTTCTGTATATTTACAAAAGCTCTGTTCATTCTGTTGACTTTTTCATGATTCATAATGTTTATCTGTTAAAAAAAATCATCCATAGTCTCATAACTATTAAAGATAAAATGTTCTCATCATTTTATCTTGTTAAGCATAAAAACGTTAAGTACTGGACTGTCTTAGCAGGTAATGGCATCTGCTGTGCAAGCTAGGCCCCTGAGTTTGATCCTCTGCCCTAAGATATACTCAAGCCTACACATGCATGCATGCATGTGATATGCACGCGCGAGCACACACACACACACACACACACACACACACACACACACACACACACGGTTTTTTTTAAGCATATAAATTTTTCACTAAACTGATAATTCACACTAAAATTATAGTTGTCTTATGAGAGTTAGTCAGAAAGTTTGTATTTTTAATAACAATCATGTTGATTTACCTCACACTTTAAGATTTTAAAGATATAAACAGATTAAAATATGTTATCTGGGATTAGAAAGATGGCCCAGGGGCCAAAGTTCAGTTTTCAGTAACCACACTATTGTGGCTCATAACTATCTCTAAGGGATCTGACAGCCTCTTCTGGACTCTGCAGGCCCACACAGAAGTGAGACATAACATACATTAAGGAAAACAAATTTTTTTTTAATGTGACCAGTCCTAGCTATGTTGCATAACTCTCATTTATAAAATAAGGAACGTGGATCAAACGTTTTTAGTCTCTTCAAATATTAAACTACTAAGCCCTTTCTGGATCACTTTCTCTAGAAGGATGTTCCAGTAGCCCTCTTGAATCTTAAGCATGGAGAAGAAATGGTGCATTAAACAATGCTACCAGGTTTTCCTTAAAAGCCTTTGGCTCCTTTGTACCACCGTCTAACCAGTACTCCTCCCTGACTACTCCCAGAAACACCACATTGATTTGCTGCTTTGTGAAAAATTCAAAACACTGACTCTGACTGTCTTTGGAATCACTGCTTAATGAGTTCACCAAACATAGTCTAATGGCCTGTTCATCTCAAAGTCCTGAGCTGTCCGACCTCTACTCCTATGAGACACCTTCAGCTTACAGTTTGCTTGTTCTAGTCACAGTAGGCGTTCACTCAAAACTTTGTTCAATCCTCACCGTTCACTAGCATGGATTCCAAACTGTTAATCACTTATTTATAGCCATTTCTTTTCTCCCTTGACCAACTTTGGTAACCCGGCTAAGCACAGTTGAACTGAGTCCAGATGTTAAGCTAACTAAAGTCACAACTGGCTGCCTGGCTTCATTAAATTAATTATCACAAATTTTAGTTTATCATTTACATCAAGTCTAAAAAAGCTACTTTCTGAAGATATGAACTCTAGGCTACCTACTTAGACCCGTTCTCTGATCCTATCAGCTTATGTAAAAGTTCTAGTATATCATAGTTCAACAAAGTAATCTTCCTTAAATAGACTACACTCTTTCCTCGATTGGAGTGATGAATGTTTTTGGTAGAAGATGCTGCTCCCAAGATTCTCCAGCTCTCTATAATTAACTCCTCATCTTCATTCAGGTCCTTTAAACTACAAAGACAACCCTGTGGAAAACTCGAGTTACATCCAGTTTTACTTCCTCCATAGTTAAGAAATCACAAATCTCCTTTAGAAACTATATCCCAGTTCTTGAGAGAAACAAAAAAAGTTGAACCTTTTTAGTTTTACAGGTAGTTTCTGGGAGGGGTGGAGGGCTTCTCTGTGTTAAACAGCCCTGGCTGTCCTGGAACTCACTTTGTAGACCAAGCTGGCCTTGAACTCATAGATATCTGCCTGCTTTTGCCTCCTGAGTCCTGAGATTAAATGTGTGTACCATCACTGCCTCGACAAAAGTGAGTTTTTAATGGATTGTTATTACAACTGTTACATCCTAGAAAGCTGGCTCATTATTTAAGCTAACGTATGATCTACTTAATCATTAAAAATTTTTCTCATATATTTTGAAGTATAAAGACTTAGATTTTTCATGTGTATATTGGACATCTGCATAAGTTTATGTCCACCATGTGTATACAGGGTTCCACACAGGCCAGACAAGGATATCAGATCCCTAAAACTGGAGTTATAGTCAGTTGTGAGCATGGTCCTCTGCCAAAGGCAGTTCTTAATCCTAGGCCATCTCTCAAGCACCTATTTTGAAGAATAACAAAATGTATTTCAACCAAATTCTTCATTTTATAGGCTTTTAAATTCCAATCTACTAGCTACCAAACTGCTGGATTACATTGTACACCTTTGCTAGTGAAACCTTGTATATATTCAGAGTAAACTAGTAAGAACTGCCCTTCATATGGTCTGAACAGTGATTTCTATAGTCTCATACAGCTTAGTAGGCTACTGTGTAGAATCTCATATATATGGAGTTGGGGGTGGGGGAGTTAGTTTTACCCTCGTCTTAAATTTGTATTTTAAAAGGGAGGATATTTACCTTAATATTTTTAAAAAGTCTTGTCTAGTAAAAAAGGCTATGAACTTCTGTTAAGTAACAAAATCCCACTGTTAGTTTACATTTTGCTTATAAACAATCTCAGAATACTTACCTTCTTAAGATTAGTAGTAACTGGTTTTGCCTTGTTTTTAGCCTTGAAAGTTTTGTGGATAGCTATATGAAATACATTCCTGGACTTCTGCCCTTTTAGTTTGTTCTTGGCCATTGTCTAGAAAAAAGAAAGAGGTTCAGTTAAACTGCTTTTATTTTGAACCACAAATCAATTTAAAATTTTAAAGACCATCTTAGTTCTGATTATTTTAAAAGTTGTCACATAAATTCTCTGTCTTTCACTCCTAGACATTTTATCAGGTTTTGAGATATGAGACACACATATCTCAGTCGTTCCTGAACCCTAGCACCAGGTCTGAGACACCTAGTTAAGATATGTTGGTTGTCAACACACATAAGAAAGCATTATCCTCATCTTAGAGATTTAAAAAGTGATGCAAAGATTTAAAGCCATACAAGTTAGACTAGAGATCATTATACTATACTGCTTCTCTCATGAACAAAAACCTGCTACATTTTCTACTTTTGTTCGATTAGATCATAAAATCATGCCAGGCACCTGTTGTATTTAAAGTTTGTTATCTTCACTTCCACTGTATGTTTCTGGGTGCTTTTCTGCTGCAACTCTGTGTCGATTTTGAAATCTTTACTGATTTTGAAGTCTTTACTGAAAGTTTCCGAAGTTTTTGAACAAATCAACTCCACACAGTGGTAATTTTTATAAAGTATGAAATGATAAACGCCCAGAAATTAAAAACATCAATGGTTGTCCAGACATACACGGGGCAATATGCCTTGGTCTATTCATCCTTGGTACTCTTGATTCTGACCTAAAATCTGTTCTATCTTCCTTCCCTTTGCAGTTTGCTCAAACTTTCTATCTTGGCTAAAACTTCCAATACAGCATCAATATGCATACACAGGGAATATGCATATACAACGAATATACAGTACTTACTACAGGTGTCTGGCATGTTTTTGTTTATGATCTAATCAAACAATATGGATACACAATATGCATATATATGTTCCCATATATACTACACACACACACACACACACACACACACACACACACATATATATATATATATATATATATATATATATATATATATGTATGTATATGGAAACAACACACTCTTGAACCCTAACAGTACTTCTGCTTTAAAATATAATTAACAGCAGAAAATACATGAGTAAAATAAAAAGCCATTCAACCTATTATCTAACCTCCCCCATCTCTCCCCCATCTACCTTCTCATCTAGTATTCACTAATCATTTACTAAGCATGAAGTTATAAAGACACACAAACAGCCAGATGGGTATTTTACATGCACAAATACTAACATCAACATGAAACATACAAAAAGCGTTACAGACTCGAATGACGAGCGACGCTATGGAAACAAAGGTTAGAGAAGACAGTAGCCAGGTTTTCGGAAAACTGCTAACTTTAAAATTGTGATGAAGTCACTGTTAAAACACCCTGCCAAGGGGGTGGCCGAAAGGTTTCGAGCCTGGGCACCCCGGGAGTTCCATCGCCCACGAGGAGTTGATAGAGGACTAGAAGGTGGCAGAACAGAGGCCTCGGAGCAGCCGCAGCCAGCATTCCCACCACGCCCTGCCTGGGCCCCAAGCATTTCACCCACAGCGCTCCGAAAAACCCCATTAGCTTCTAACCAAAGTTCACGAGGCACTTCAGGTTCGCAGTGACGCCAACCACAAGCTCAAGACACAGGAAGTTCCGGAAAGAGGAGCCAGTCATGTGAGTTCTTTACAGCCGTAACCCCACCCACCGGATGGACATTCCCCCTGAGCGGGGCCACTCCCCCAGTTCCTCTCGTGCCTCTTAGCCCCGCCCTTCACAACGGGCCCTCACAGCGGAGCCCGGCCTCTTTGCCGTGACTCCGCCTGCTCTGAAGGAGCTGCCCCTCAAAGGGGAGGAGGAGTCTACTTCCCCGGAGTTTCGCAGTCTAGCGCGACATGGATGTTTTTCATAGGTTTAAGCTAGTACTTGGAAGAGGCCTCCCACCCGATGAGGTTCCACCCACCGCCACGCTAGCATCCGGCGCCTGTGACCGTCAGACCCACGAAAGGCGAGAAACACTCTCGCCAGAGACCTCTCACCTGAGAAGTCTGGCCTTCCGGCCTCAGATTCTTGATGTCACCAGTCGAAGCCGCGGGCCCTGCGGTGTCCAGGAGGTGGCGCTACGACCGCGGGCGGCGTCCATACACTGAAGACAAAGTTCACAACCTTTTCACGTTACTTTCTTGTTCCAAAAAGAAAATTTCCTACAGCACAGCAGATGTACAAGAAATCATTCGTTATATAATATATATAATATGCACATATATGTTCAAAATAGGAACCTTTGAGAAAACTAGGATGAAGCCCCTTTACCTTCGCTCTTTTTGTAGAACTGCACGTTTCTGTTAGGGTGTTTCAGAAAAATCTATTCACATTTTCCAAGAGGCTATTCACATAGCTGTTTCCACATGTTCCTACTTATTTCGTAGATATCGCAGGGAAAACTATTTTCAAATAAATGAAGTCTTCGCATTTATATGTAATTTTGTACCTTAGAAGCATTCTGCCTGCTGTTTGCACCATACCAAAATGATGCAATCATACCCACCCACTTCTGCAAGCGAGGTCCCCACTAAAGCACAGGGTTTAAGCCTCTTCCAGCAGTCTACCACAACTGGCATCCTCTCAAGTCCTGCTTCCACTAAATCAGTCCTTCATCTCCTTATAGAAAGGTCAACTTCTACAATCAATCATATATATTTTACCTGTCACGGAATAAATTCTGGAAGGAAATGTAATTGCCTGTTAACACACATTTTGTATTCTTTTGAAAAATCCATTCCTTTTCCGGGGAGTGTTGATCTTTGCTTTGTTTTTGAGACACTGTTTCTCTGTGTAGCCCTGGCTGTCCTCGAGCTAGCTCTGTATACCAAGCTAGCCTTCAACTCAGAGATCTGCCTATCTCTGCCTCCCTGGTGTTGGGATTAAAGGCATGTGTCACCACCAACCAGATGTGCAAATGTATTCAATTTGTATTCAAAATACCAGTGAAGTTCTAAAAAAAATAAAAATAAGTAGCTGTGAAACTCATGTCACATATAATGATGCCCTTGATTAGATCCCCTTGCCCCAAGCAAGACAAAAAATCAAAATTCTACCTTGCGTGAGTGTGGGAGTGATGCCACAAGTAACCAAACTTCTAGAAAAACATTAAATTATTTTGCAGAACCAGAGTTAAGAATACTGATGCAAATGAGAGCATAATTATGTTTCTCAAATGTAAAGTTACTGACATGTTTGTACAAGGCAAAGCAACATATATAAAAGAAAGCCATTGTGTATGTAAAATCTGTGGAGTGTAGCTTTTAGTTTAGAATGATGATAAGACTACATATACCAAGGAAAAAACATAGTTGTACAGGTAAAAAGCAGAGGAATTATAAAGGCAAGAAGACATCAGTTTCTGTGTTGTTTTCTATCAGCTGACAAGACAAGCTAGAAAAAGTCATTTTATTTCCCTCTGCCTCCTATGTAGATGGCTATTGCCCACTTTAGATATTGATTATTTGCTCAGCACCCTTTCTGGGTAACAACTTTTATAACATTGAGTGCTCCTTGTTGACCTAGAAGGACTTTAGTCCTTCTCTGGGGTCTTCCCAACTGGAGCTAGTGGGAATGCTGCTGCTTGGGCTCAGGGGTGTCTCAAGAGAATGCTGTGAAACTGGGCTTCAAGCGACCATCTCATCCATCAACTGGGAAGAACATGAAGGCACCACAACGGGAAAACAACTGGACTTAAGAAATATGGCCTGGCAGTACGGCTGGTTTAAGTATTGTGACCAGAAAATTAACAGTGTCTTTTGATTTCCTGGCTTCAGTCATAGCTGGAAGAACAATCCTTAAATATCAGAGATAAAAGATCAGTCATACCTTGAACAATTTTTTTTTATCCTTTGTACCTGAAGGGATTTTGACTTTATTACCTTTTTCAAGAAACTGTGAGAACCACAATAGGATGTTACTCTGATAAAGAACATGTTAACTCAATTCAAGGGTTAAATAACAATAGTAAAGCAAAAGAGACCACACATAATTAAAACCACCTACCATCAAAGTCATAGTGGTCTAAGGAGCAAAGCCAACCTTGTCCTGATGATACTCTAAAATCACCCAATTAATCTACAGACTGTCTCTTCTGAACTGGGTGAAACTTCAAAGCCCACCCTCACAATGACACACTTCCTCCAACAAGGCCACACCTACTCCAACAAGGCCATACCTTCAAATAGTGCCACTCCCTGGGCAAGCATATTTAAACCACCACACTCAGGCTCCATGGGACCTAAATGGAAGGTAAAACACATTTATTCTCTTCAAGAGGTCACTATAATCTTGATTATGGGAGCACAGAATTTTTTTATTTATTTTTTATTCTTAGCAATATCTGTAAAGACTATAATAAATGTACAAAAGTATGCCACTTATGAAAGAAATAATTCTAAATTCTAGAAACCTATTTGTTGGGGCTCAGGAGATGCCCCATAAATCACATGAACACTGATCTCAATCATACAGGGATATTTTACTGAGCATTAGTCCCAGAACTGATTGATTAGGGTTGCAGACTAGAGTTGAGAACTGACTGTGACCTCTAGCCAGAACATTACAGAACTTTAAAGCATGAAATCCACAAACATCTGTGCTAAGTTATTCAGTTATTCTACCAATCAGAATTTAGAGATAGGAGACTTCCTTAGGAAAATGTCTTTTTTGTTTTTTTTTTGTATACTTAACTTGTTTCCATTGGTTTCCAACTGTGGTGGGATGACTTGACTTGCCTAGTAGTCATGTCTTAACTTGCCAACCAGGATGTCAGTTACCCCATACATGTCTTGTTCTGACAAGAACAATGTCAGTGTCCACAGAGGTCTCAGGAACTTAAAATTTTTGACCCATATTCAAAATGGAAGTTTTATTCCAAATGGCTTCTTATACTGGTGTCTTCCACTTATGTTGGGGTACATCCCACCCAGGGATAGCATATAAAGGTGAAAGCCATTAAAGTTCATGCGTATGTGCAGACCGTGCAGCTGGAAGATTGATTCATGTCCTACCTTATTGTGGATAACTATACAAAACAGTTCTAAATGACTTCTGCTGTCAATGGATTACAACACCAAATCATAGAATATAACAGAATATGCAATCAACTTGGGCAGAAGAAAGTTTCTTGATAACAGTAGTTACAGTATATGAGGAAGTTTCCTTGTAACAGTAATAACAGCATAAACTGGCTGGGTGGACATGCAACGTAACAGTTATCCATGCCTGAACAGTGTTAAGGCTATGCTCTGATTATCATTTAAAAAAATTCTACAAACTACAGCAAGAAGGTCAGGTCTAAACCAGTGTTCACTTTTTAAAAAAGATTTATTTTATGTATATGAGTACACTGTAGCTATCTTCAGACACATCAGAAGAGGACATCAGATTCCATTACAGATGGTTGTGAGTCACCATGTAGTTCCTAAGAATTGAACTTAGGACCTCTGGAAGAGCAGTTAATGTTCTTAACCACTGAACCATCTCTCCAGTCACAGTGTTCACTTTTATACAGCCTACACACTAAAAATAATTTTTCATTTTGAAAAGGAGAAGAGGGAAAAGGAGAATAACACACTATAGTGAGTGTTCTATTACATTTCTATGTCAGTAGCTAGTGTTTCATGACACACAACCAAGCTCATTGCGCTATTGTCTGCTTTCATTGCTCAATGTTAATGCTCAGTGAGTAGTTCCAGCACAAAGAGCATACAAAGCCTAAAATATAGTCGACCTGGGCCTTTACCAACTTTAAAGCTTTTAAAACTTTCATCCACTACCATAGAAGAGGGTGAATAGCCAAGTATAATTGGCTGAATTATTTGGGATTTGCACTTAAAGCTATAGACAATCTCAAAGAACTTGAAAGTATATTTCAACAAAAAAATTTCCATGAATTCTATCACCTTGCCTCTGATGATTAACAATGATATTCATGTTCTGGGCTGAAAATGAGAGATCTCAGATGTGTTGAAGATACTAAAGAGTGATGTAAAACTGGTAAAGAAGGTGAACTTCCCTGGAAACTGAGATGGAAAGATGTTGCTAAGGTCCTTATGATAAAGTTTAAAGTCTGTGTCTCCTGCCACTCACTGCTCTTGCCTTGGGGAGCATAGCCTACAATCTATACACTAGTACTGACACAGAGGGGTGTATCTTCCTGTCTTCAAATGGATTTAGATGATTCTGAGTTATTGCCGTACTTCTATTCCATTGCAACTAAAAGTGTTCTTCTCTACCAATTTGTATATTCATTGTTTTGTTTATATCAGTATGGGTTTGTGAGTTCCTGTCTTATGCAGTAGATTAAGATCTTTTTATTGTAACTATTATAATGTTCATATTGCTTAGTTTGGGCCTTTAAGCAAGCATTCAGCTAACTGCCACATGCCCTCACCTGCATTCTTTGACAACCTCTTACTTTCTAGTGTAACAACATATTCTAGACTCATCTGACATCTGTGCTTTCCCAACCCTAAAA